AAGAATAGAGATGGTCCCCAGGCTGTTGGCTGGCTGTTAGGTGATGTCGAGTTGGTTGACTCTTAGTGACAACAAAACAACGCTGCCTGGTGCTACACCCCCTCACAGTTGTTATGCTCGGGCTCACTGCTGCAGCCCCTGTGTCAGCCCACCTTGTCAAGGCCTTCCTCTTTCCCTGACCTTCTACTGTACTGAGCATGAAGTCCTTTGCCAGGGACTGGCTCTGCTGGTAACATGTCCAAAGCACGTGAAGTGAAGTCTTCCTATCCTCACTTCTGAGCACGTTTCTGTCTATACTTCTTCCAAGACAGGCTTGTGTGCTCTTTTAGCAGCCCTGGGACTTTCAGTATTCTTCACCAACCTCTACCCCAAGGTAGACGATAAGAAAGTGGAAGAGGCTTTCCTGCAGTCACACGTTCCAGACTTGTAACCAGTTCCCCGGGAGCTTGACTTCTGGGCATTTCCTGCCATTCCTGATGACCTGAGGTGAGATGACTGGTGAGAATCAAAGTTTCACGAATAGCATATCGTTCCTCAGTAGTTTCATCAGATCATGCTTGATGCTTTCCCTAAAGGGCTTTCATATCTTTTTTTTTAAAGGGCTTTCATATCTTGATCGACTTAGAATCGTGCCTGTGAATATGGCAAGGGCTGTACTCATGTTTTCTATTGTTGTTAGTGTCATTGGAATGATGTGGAGCTGAGAGGCAGACACACTGAAAGACTTGGTCAAGACAATCCACTGAATCCAAGGAAGGCTACGGTTCAACTGAAATCCACTAGTCACATCCACATATTTGCTGTACAACCAAAGTGACCCAGAAAATCAAATCCAAACCAAAAAAGGTGCTTACGGTTAACATCAGGGCAAGCATCCCCAGATACCTGTGAAAGCGCATTTCCAAGGAGAACGGGAGGGTCGGGGTGGTATTGGAAGGAAACAAATCTCCTAAATTATCTTCAAGGAGAAAGGTAGGATGTATTGAAGCTGCCCTTCTCGTGCTGCTTTTCATTATCTGCTGTTATGTAACCCACCACCTGCAGACTCCGTGACTCAAACAAACAATGATGAAAAAAAGGAAAAACCAATGACGTATGACTTCTCATGATGCTGTCTGGGCGATTCTGCTCATCTCACCGGGGAGCACTCGTGGTTGCAGTCTCTGGCAGCCCAAGAAGGGCTGGAGCGTCATAA